CCCCAATCCACCCTTCTCTTTGTTCCTATTTAGCAAATCATGGGATATTCTTGGTTTTTTGTTCCTCCATATATATCTTATCATTTTTTTAATTGCTTTAAAGAAGGAGTTTAATTGGAATCATTTGAAATCTATATAGGATTTTGGGTGCGATTACCATTTTTACCAGATTTATACATCCTATCAGGTTTCCTCCTTCTAATGTTTTTAATTCCTCCCTGATCTCGTTTAACAATGAAATATAATTTAATTTATACAGATATTTATATGAAGCAGTACGTTTTACTCCCAAGTATTTTATATCTCTTTCTTTCCATTTAAAAGGGAATTCCTTTTGTATCTTTTCTTTTTCACTTGTTAAAATATTTATATTTAAAATTTCAGTTTTTGTTGGATTAATTTTTAAATTTGATAATTCCCATATTCCTTCAACATCTTCAATAAATTTGGGAGTGTTATCCTGGGATTCCCAACATAGAATAACAAGTCATCTGCAAAGGCAGCCACTTTGTGTTCTATATCTTCTATCTGAATTCCCTTTACATCTCTATTATTCCTTATTGTTGACAGCAAGGGTTCCAATGACAGAACATATAACAGTGGGGATAATGGGCAGCCCTGTCTTGTTCCATTTGACATCTTAATGGGTTCCGACCTCTCCCCATTTACCATATTAATTGCGGAGGGTTCCCTATACAATTTTCCTATCCACACTCTCATTCTGACTCCGATCCCTAGGGCTTCCAGGGTGTCCATCATGAAGCCCCAATCCACTCTGTCAAATGCCGGCATCAATTACGAGCACCACCACTGGAGTTTTTCCTTTTCTACTTTTCTGAATGAGCATCAGAGATCTCAGCCCATTATCTTTGCCCTCTCTCCCTGGAACAAAGCCGACCTGATCCCCATGAATCCATTCGGGCATAAGTTCCTTCAATCTATTTGCTAAGACCTTTCCGTATTACTTAGTGTCCGTGTTCAGTAATGAAATAGGTCTATAAGTCGAACATTGAGAAGCATCTTTTCCTTCCTTGTGGATAAGCACCACATGGGCCTGTAGAAATTCTTCTCTTACTTCCATCCCTCCTCCCAAAGCATTCATATATCTTCTGAGCTTAGGTATTAATAGTTCGCTGTATTTTTTATAGTACCTCACAGTGTAACCATCTGGTCCTGGACTTCTCCCCGACATTGTGCTTTTTAATGCTACTTTTATTTCTTCCTGTGTAATTTCTGCATCTAGGGAATTCAGTTGTATTTCGCTTAATTTCGATAGGCCCGCATTCTCCAGATATATCTTTCTTTTTTGAATCTTCTCAGTTTCAGTCTCAGTATTTTTAAAGAGTCATGGGGACTAATATTATACAACTTTCTATAATATTCCATAAATACTTTAGAAATTTCTTTAGTTGAATGGACCAGTTCACCCTTGGAGCTTTTTATTGTTTCTATGTAGTTACTATTTTTATTTTTCCTCAAGGCTCTCATTAAATATTTTCCTGGTCTATCACCCCATCTATACCTCTCACTTAACACATTATTATAGACTCTTCTCCTCTCCTCCTCCATCAAAGTCTCTAGTTCTTCTTTCTTTTTTATTACCTTCTGCCTTATTTCTTTTGTTATTCTATTTTTGTATATCTGTTCAGGTCACAAATTTCTTTTAAAAGCCCACTAACTTTCTCTCTTCTTTCTTTTTTCTTTTTTGCCCCAATCGCAATCAACATTCCTCTTATATATGCCTTATGAGACTCCCACTCTGTGGCTATCGACACATCTCCTGTCTCATTCTCCTTAAAAAATCGCTTAATCTCTTCCCCAATCTTCTGAGCAATAACTTTATCTAGGAGAAGTGCCTCATTCAGCTTCCATCCTAGACCTCCTGCCGCCCTCCTTCCCCACTCCATTTTCATTGTGACAGGGGCATGATCTGAGAAAGACATTGCTTCTATTTCTACCTTAACCACAAACTCAAGGCCTATCTCAATTCTTGAGGCCCTTAACATGCCATGACAAATACCCCCCAAATTACCCCTTTTTTGGAATGTAGACAGAGCTATTTAGTAAGAGGCATGGTGAGTTTTTTGAAGTTGTAATTTTTATTTTTCACCATTTTTTTTTTTGAAAATTAAGAAATTAAATAATGTTTTTTTTTTTTTCACATTTTTTTTTACATACGGTCGCCAGCACATAGGTAAAAAATGTATTCAATGTTTAAGCATTTTTTTTACTTTTTCTTTTTTTTGACATTCATAACAGCTTTGATGATATTGTGATCGTATAGTAATTAACCAAAAATTTGAGCCAAGGAAAAAAAACAATCAATAAATAAATGCTGCTGTTCAAAAATGAAAAAACATAAAAAAAAAAAACTCATAATAAAACACAGCGCATATAAAAGCACTATTTATTTGCGCTGTGTTTTATCATGATCGTATAGTGCTTAGCTGAAAGCAGCCTGGTACTGGGAGCCAGAATCCACTGTCACGGGAGCAGCATGCTATGCGCCTCTAACCCAGAACAGGCTGGATGACGTACATGTACAGTTGTGCTCAAAAGTTTGCATACCCTGGCAGAAGTTGTGAAATTTTGGCATTGATATGAAAATAGGACTGATCATGCCAAAAAATTGTCCGGGATTCAAAGAAAAACCCACAGATGTGGGACATTAACCTCTAATTGGCATTTTAACTCGTGTGTGTCACCTTGTGTGTCTGTACCAAGGCCAAAAATTCCAGGTATGTAAACTTTTGATCATGACCATTTGGGTGATTTATGTTATCATTATGATTTAAAAAAGAGCCAAACAACTATTTGATAATAAATGGCTTCATATGATCATCATCCTTCAATAAAAGAGCATTTTGTGGCATGATCAGTCCTATTTTCAATATCAATGCCAAAATTTCACAATTTCTTCCAGGGTATGCAAACTTTTGAGCACAACTGTACGTGATCCAGCTTGCCCACAGTAAATGTACAGTGGACAGGCAGCAAGTAATGTACAAAATGGTTGTCCAAACCAACCAGTAAGAACTAGAATGGGCAGAGATGGCACAATATTACATGTGTTGCTGCTGATTTTGTGAGGATTGTACTGCCAGTAAACCTGAGAGAATAGCAAATACTTCTGTAGGTCAGATTTTCCTGTTATCACACAGGAAGATTTTCCAGCTTGTAACAGCTCCCTGCTAGCATGCCCAGAAATTATTTTCTTCTAGGAAACTTGAGAGAGGATGGATAAAGCACATGTTTTCCAAGTCACTGTCAGGCGAGTATTCAATCAGATTGGATGGTGGTACTAGACAATTATTAGGTGGATAGTGTTTAGAAATCTACCATGATCTTTAGGCTCATTAGCACCAAGGGTTGGCTGGATGATATCTTGACCCTTGGGGAACTGTGACCTTCTGCAGTGACAAGCCTCTGGAGCAATCGCTACAAAATAGAACTATACAAGGATAACATCGCACAATTTGCCTTAATCCGCTTTTATTAAAAAAAATTGCGTGCATAACACATTTCTACAAGTGCTGCAACACATTTTCACACCATACCAATATCAAAGCGTTTCCAGCACAAACATATAAAATATCAAAGGCATAGGGGTTGGTTTACTAAAGGCTGTACACGTTAAAAGGGAAGTTGCACCTCTGGGAATTTTTCCCAGCGGTTAGTGAATGCAGTGAAATATCACTTTGCAAAAAATACCCAATCATGTGCATAAAAATAAACAGAATTTTGCTGCACAGCTCCACTTCATTCACTTATCTCTGGGAAAAACTCTTTCAAAGTGCAACTTCCCTTGCAAAGTCAATTTGCCTTTAGTAAAACAACCCCATAGTTCCATTTATCTACAATGATATTACTAAGTGGTTGTATAATACAAACAGAAATGTAATGCAATCTGCTTGCTTTTGAGATTCTTTTGCTATGTTTCGTTCTTCGTAAGTGCTACTGTATATTACAATTATTAATTAATTCCTTGGAAATAAAGTGCATTTAGAACATGTAATAAGCACAGTTTAATAAATATTAAGTACAAAAAAGGTAAGATAAAAAAGTAGAGAAAGTAATGTCCAATTATATGCATATATATATTTTGGTTACACAGCCATCACGTTATAGACATACAGCCAAAAAATGCAATACATTACCATTATTTTATATGTGCAATAAAATGCCACTGTCAAATATAGTTTAGTTGGTAATATTTAATATCACAGCCTAGAATGCAAGTGAACACTAGTGAAACTATCACAAATCTCTGTAGATGTATAGTTGTCTTTTTTTTCTGTAAGCAAAGGCCATAATTCTGGATGAGATTATTTAAATAAGTGTCAAATCATTTGACTTTCTTAAAAGATTCAAATTGTTTTAAGTAATGAGTCACTAAATAGGAGTATAATGTTTAATTTTTAAAATACTGTATAGTAAATATTAATACAGTTCTAAGTTAGAAATGTGGTTTTCCATTAAGAGAAGGTAAATCTGTACATGTGTGTGAGCCATTTCTCTAGGATCATTTGAGGCCACTACATGGCTACAATAAACGTTGGGCTAGAGATTTGAAATTAGTTGGAATGCGTTTCTTAGAAATCTATCATGTAGATAACTAGAAGTGTAAAGAGGGTGCACCTGTTCACAGGCCTATGAAATGTACATGCCTAGTAGTCACTCCTAATATTTTTTTGTTTGTTCTCTGTGTTGAGATGCTGATATACACATGGACCCATGTAAATAACAACCAACTGCCTATGGGCAGAACAGAACCTTTGAAAGCTTTGATGTAAAAGTGTTTTTTTCCTTGAATGGACTTATCAAAATCTTACAATGTGTGGTTAGCTTTAGGAATGGTAAAGTTATTTTGCAACGCAGATATTGGCTGTTGATAGCATGTAAAAAAACCTACATATTTGTTTTAAAAATCAGTATTTAGGTGCAGCTTTGGTTTTTGAAAAATGAATTCTTGCGATCAAAGAAAAGACGGATTTATCTGGTCACTTTGAATTCATCGAGCCACTGCTTTTGGAAATATGGCAATACAAAGTCAGTGCGAAAGACATTCCTAATACCTGCAAAACACAACAAATGACATCCCATCATTCTTAAAAGCTTATTGAAAGTTTTTTTTCACAATTGAAAAATTCCATTATAGATCATTTTATCATTTATATCTATATATTGTTAGACCTTTAAAGTGTTACTAAACCCAGGACCCTGCATCCACTATATCTGCACTCCTACAGTACACAGAACATCATGGAAGTGCAATTATTTTAGTAAATACAAACTGCTAAATACCTTTTCTCATCAGCAGTATATAGCAGTCTTGTGTCTTAGCAGAGCACTGGTTAAAGCTTGTAGGAGGAGTTTTCTTTCTGCTCTATGAGGATGTGAAACCTCTGACCCTCTGTCTGGACAGTGCTGATTGGCCCTGTGCTGATCACATGCACCCTCCCAAGTAAAACAAAAAAAAACCCTCTCTAGCAATACACACCAAATTGAGCATGTGCATGTGATCATGGGTTCAGTTTGTATCAGGTGGACATATCAACAAGAGGAGGGGCAGAGAAGAAAGTATCAAACAGCCTTTTTACACAATGCAGAATATTAACCCCTTAGGTTCCACAGTGAGTATAACAAGCATGCTTTACTGCATATACAGACTGATTTTACTGTTGTGGGTTTAGTAACACTTTTTAACTCTTGTATATAGACTGGACAAAAAATATTTCCTAAAACTAATGAATATTGGCCTCCCCTCTGATGATGTGCTGGAGCACGAAAGGCCTTAGGAGGAGCCAGCAGAGCGTGACATCTTAGCCGCCCGGAGCCACGAGGAGGCCCGGCGGCCATATTACTTTTGGTCAGTTGCACAACTCTTATCATTCACTGGTTCAGTGTTTTCTGCCCTGTTTTACTATTTTGGAATAAATGTTCTTGATTTTACTCACCTACTACACTATGGAGTTTTTTTTTGGCTCCTACCTGGAGCTAATTAATTATTTTTAGGATATCATACCTACTTTGGCCACCGGAGGGAGTTCCTCGTCCATTATTCACCTAGTCTAAAGAGGATCTCTGGATCTGGATGCTGTCCACTTTACCAAGATCGCCTGCTCCCAAATACCCATTGTACCCGCTTGATGAGTGATTTCCAGGGGTCATACTACATATGCGCTTTTATATAGCGCGTCCGGTGAGTGCGCAATTTTACCGTTTGATCCTGGGCATACTAGTTTCTTTGCAAGATCCTGCGTTTATTTGCCTGGACATTATCAAATATTGGTCACTATTTCTGTTATACATCACAGTGTGCTTTCAGATCATCTGAGACATATATGGGTTTATAGATCCTATGTCATATCTATCAGCAATGAATATTTACAGTATGTGTTAAAAAAATAAAGGGGAAATAATACATGTTGGTTCATAAAGGCAAAGTTTAATATTCAAAAGCAGTATCCAAAAATCAAATTGTAAATTAGAGTAAGGCCTTGTTCACACAGGTGTACCACAGTGTGCGCCTGTGCGAGGGCTGTGTTTACCTGCACAGGGTTCCTTGCATACCTGTGCACGCAGTCCCATTCATGTCAATTGGGAAGCAGTGGCTGCCCCCAATTTGACATCCACGTGGGAGCAGGAGTACACTGTCTGCGTTCAGGAACATGCACCTGCATGGATGTCAAATTGGGAGCAGCAGCTTTGCGTCCCAATTGATATGAATGGGATTGCCTGTATGGGAGTGCACAAAACACGTGTGAATCCCTAAAAAACGCAGCCATCTATGATGTAGTACACCCGGGTGAATGAGGCCCAAAACTGAATTGTGACATTTTGAAAAATGTCAGATAATAAAAATAACCAATGCATTCAATATAAAAATCTACAGAAAGGCATATTACACTAGAATTCATGTGACTACTTATATACAGGAGCGCTTGCAAACTGGGGACGTGTGCAGCAGTAAGTACAGTGAGCTCTTGAATAAATTAAACCTGTCATGAAAGAAACATAGAAGTTTCCATTGCTGACCTCTCCTTCTGATGTTTGACTCTCATAGTGACACTCTTCTTTCTCAGTTTCCTGAATCAAGAATGCAGATATGGAGTTTTACATGTTTCTCCAACTTTACTAGCTTCACAGTTGTTCCAGGGCAATTGTTCAAAGTGGTTTGAAGCCAAAGCATCACCACAATAGCCAGGCAACTACTATTTTTAGAATCACAATTCCACCCCTATATTTCTGCAACTATGGGTTTTCATGAGTACTGAGCCTTATGCTACATATAAAGTAAATCTCCTCTTTTGAATTTCTTACCTCAATAATGGAAGTACAGATGGTCACGATCCCAACATACAGGAAATTATTCTCAAACCACGTTGTGAAAGCGGCTGAACACCCCTAGAATTCAATGTAAAGGCTTTTTAAAAGACTTGTTTTCCTCTATTTAAATTACTTTTAAAAACCACTATACATTAGTAGTTCATATTTTGAAAATGTCAGAACACTTTTCCTTTAGGTGTAAATATATTCATCATTGTCCCCTAATCTTTGGAGCCTAGATGAAGGCACCAGGCAAGGTTTTGACTTCTATGCTAGTAGAAATGGAGTTCCAGCTTTGCTACTATAAACTCCTATTGCTATAATTTAACTGTTAAATGGTATGCAGAGAAGAAATCCAGATATGGGTATTTTACACATGGTTCCAATGACCCTTGGACCAATGTAACTATGCATATACCATACCTGGCTGATGCCCCTGGAAGCTAAAAATCACTCACATAGACACCGCTACTTCAGTGATCTTTACTTGCTTCTAGGTCCCATACCCTGTAGCTGCCCTGCTGTATTGTGACCACAGGAGGTAGGCTACTCAGCATGGACACCATTCAGAGAACGCTTTGCATTTGCTGAGTGAATACAAATTGCTCTCTGAATTGATGAGGTGCAGAGGCAGGGCAGTGATGTCACACTCTCCACCTGTCAAGTCAGAGAATGCTTTGCATCTATTCAGAAAATGAAGAGCATAATCTGATTGACGCTGATGCCAAGTGGTCGACCTCCTGTGGTCACAATGCAGTAGGGCAGCTGCTCGGCGCACAGCAAGTGGAGATCACTGAATTAAACACTTGCAACTTCAGAGAGCATTGGTCAGTTATGGTATATACACAGTTACATTGATCCAAGCAAGACCAATGTAACGTATAAAACATCCATACTTGGAGTTCTTCTTGGAAGTGACTCTACTTCTACTCTACTTGGAGTGACTCTGAAAGATGAAAACAGGTATTTTCAGACACATATAAGAGCCTCTGTAATATTAGGGAGTTCTATGGTCACAGCATACACTTTAATTTTATAATTTGTAATAACAATACAAACAATAGTTATATTTGACAATCCAATATAAGCTTGTATTGTGAGTTCTGCCTGTCTGCTGGTCATCTCTTTTCGCAACTTCCTGGATTCCCTGCTTGCTTTCCAGCTTCTCCTCTGCTGTTTACTTTCAATTTCTAAGGACTAGTTCAGGGGCGGACTGACCATTTGGAAACTCGGGCACTGCCCGAGGGCCCGGGGTCAGTAGGGGGCCCCATGAGATGCCCCTGGTACCTTTTTCATATGCTTTTTTGAGTTTGGGCAAGGACACAGGGGCCCCATGATCCCCTATTGCCCGGAGGCCCCATGAGTTGCCAGTCCGCCCCTGGACTAGATTTACACCTTCTGAAATGCCTCCTCTCAGAATCTCTGTAGTTCAGAAGGCAGGCTCTGTGAAATGTGTGACACAGCAGTGCCTAGTCACAAGGCATGACAAATACATGTTATAGATACCAAGGAAGTAAATGTGTGGAGATCTTTGCAAAGTTCACAAACTTCAATATCATTCAGATTAAAAGGAGTAGGTGAGAAATAACTGAAAAAATGTAGAAACCACTATATGATTTTACATTTTGATATGCTTTAGGTTTATGCATTGCGGCAGATAGATCAGGTTTACTTTAGGATACAGCATCAAAACAAAATCTTGCTTAAAAGCAAATCAAAATCCAAAAAGAACTTTTGCAGTGCCAAAAACAAATTATCTCAACAATATTCGCTTCAGTGTGTAAAAAAAAATGTGACATCATAATCATCCACATAAATAAAGTATAAAAACAGTGATCAGTAATAACCAGATATCCAATTAGTGAAATAATAATGATATTTGTATGGGCAGCACAGTGGCTAAGTGGTTAGCACTTTCACAAAAAAGATTGCAAATCCTAACCATGGCAGTACCTGCCTGGAGTTTGCATGTTTTCCTTGTGTGGGTACTCTGGTTTCCTCTCACACTCTCAATGACATGCTGGTAAGTTAATTGGCTCCTGTTCAAATTGTCCCTAGTATGTGTATGTATGAATGTGAGGTAGGGATCTTAGATTGTACACCCCGTGAGAGCAGGGACTGATGTAAAGGTGTAATAAATATGTAAAGCACTGCAAAAATCGATGGTGCTATATAAGTACCCATAATAAATAATAAAAATACATTTCTGCAGAAAGGTTCATTGAAGTGAGAAGGGATCATAAATCCACCACCATATCCAATTGAGGCTCAATCTTCCAGTGTGTGACTTTCAAACTCATATACATATGCTGCAGTATAAACATCCAGATTCATCAACCGCCGCATACTCTCCTTGTCATCAAACCTCAGCCAGAAGGAACAGCTTCTCCTCACTTCCAGATAACAAAGGGGAAGAGCAGACCAGCAAAATGCTGTAGAAATAAAGCTCACCCCAAGAACAGGAAGAATGAACTTGTAGTATAGTAGATTTATTCAACATTGTACAGATACCTCCAATAAAAACATTCAGGATGAAAGCAATCAGTCCTCTGAAGATGTTCCACTGAATGAAACGCGTAGGGAGGAGCCCTTAGCATTGATGTCATGCCACTGCCTTGAGATTCGAGGGTGTGGTGAGGTTATACACTGGAAGATTTACCCCTGACTGGATACGGTGGTGGATTTATAATCCCTTTTCACTTCAATGAAATTTTCTGTACAAATAAGATTATTGTTTCACTAACTGGATATCTGGTTATTACTGATCACTGTTTTTATACTTTATGTGGATGAATAATATGTCAAATTTTTACAAACTGAAGCTAATTGTTGATATTTTTCTTTGCCACTGCAAAATTAATTTTTTACATTTTTGTTAACTTTTGTGTAGCAAACTTTATGGTTGCCAGCCGACTCTTGCATTGATTATCTTTATATATTAAAATCAAAATCCAGACTTTTGACACTATATGTGTTTGTAGACATCTAATCTTCCAAAACCATGGACATTAATACGAAGTTTCTCCACCCCTCATCTTGCAGCAATGGTACAACAATTTCTGCTTTTCTAGGACGGCTTCTCCACAAAAACGTTGTGTGTGTGTGTTTGTGTGTATGTGTGTTGGTGTTGAGGGGGGGGGGGGGATTTGTGTCCATTCAACCAAGAGAGCATTTGCAATGTAAGGTGCTGATGTTGGATAAGAAAGCCTGGCCTGTAATCCACATTCTAATTCATCCAAAAGGTTACCAGTATGGGTGAGGTCATGGCTCTTTGCTGTCCACTTGAGTGCCTCCAAATTAGACCATGTCCTTACGGACCTGATTTTGTACACAGGGTGCCTTGTGCCTGGTGAAGGCCTAGTTGACAAGAGGGTTTATCTTAGACCTGCTGTTCAATACCCCATGTAGTTGATGGCAGGGTGTAGCAGGAGTAGCAGGCATGAGGAGTGGCACAGGTGCCTACAGTGAGACCAGACTCAGTAGATGATCTGGAAACAGCATCGATACTCCCGAGGTGCTAAGAAGGTATAGACCAGGTCTACGCAGATTGCTGGTTTGCAGGTAGGGTACATAGGAAGTAGTCAAGACATAAGCCAAGACAGTGAAAGATATCATGGTGGCTAAGTTATGGGTCCTAAATTCCCTCTCAGGATGCTGTTTGGGTTTTTTTTTCATTTCCTTCCTATGCCTGATGACTGCGGTTATCTGAGTGCATCTGATTCCTCCCAAATATGTTCTAGAATAATTGGTATCTGATCAAATTTGTTCAAGAGTGGGTACAGCAGCATTGCTAGGGACATTAGATGGTAAGCTCTCTTAGTGACAGTCAGTGATGCAAATGATTGTACTCAGTAAAATGTTGTACAATATACAGTATAAGCTCTATAAAAATGCACAAAACAACAAATAATTGTATAGATATTATTGAACTGCAAGTTTTTGGAAAGATTTTTAATTCCTTAGAATGCACCGTCCTGTCCTTTATAGCAGTGGATTGATACTGACATCTATGTGCTGATCATTACTATAGCAAAATACAGTATGGTGTTGGGATAAGGTGTAGAGTAGAAATATTTTATAATCTTCTGAGAAAAAGCCACCAGAGGGAACTGTTCACTAAGTATTGCAGCTATAATATATACATTATTAATCTATGGCCTAGCAAAATGAATATCAAGAAATCTCAAGGATAAATCAAAGAAGAGCATGTTGGTGTATATGATATCTTTATACCAGTAAGTAACATTAGACATATAGACATTAGTGCATTATAGGCATTGGCTTCCTTTGAGTTAAATTACATATGGATAAAACATACATGCATTGTTCAGGTGAAAAGGTAACTTGGTCCTATGTATAAAAGTATAAAGAGTCATTGTAAATAAAAGCTACACTATAAATCGCTCATACCTGTTTAAAGATCTCTTTATCGGTACACACTTTTGATCCTGCAGGGCAGCAAGAATGTGGAACTGAATTACCCCAGTCATTTGAACCATTGATTCCACAGCATGTCATCTAGGAGAAAATATTATTTGTGATAATATTTCTTGCTAAAACATAACTTTTTTAAAGCTGGACTCCAGGCAAACATAATATTGCCCCCCCCCCCCCCCTCCAATTATGTGCTTGCTCAGATGTGTCGCAAAGCTTCAGTTCCAGATAGAGCCCTGTGGCACATGTGCAAAAAGATGACCATTATGGAAATTCTAAAACTTTGTCGTATTTACACATAAGCGGGAAATCTGCACTTCTGCAGATGTGCTGAAGGGCTCTTCCAGGACCTTAAGCCTGGCTTCACACTGATGTGGTGCAGAATTCGCAGCATTTTTTGTGCGAATTTGCACCGCATCAGAATCGCACACCGTTCTTGCGAACCACTGCGAGTGTGTATGTTAAGTTAACAACACCCCAAAATCAGTCTGCAAAATGCGGTGCGATGTGCAGAATTGGATCGCATAAGTGTGAATACCCAATGAGGACCAAAAAAAAGGGTCCTGCACCTTTTTGGTGCAGATGCAATGAGATTTGAGCCATACAAAATGTATGGCTCTAATCACACCGCATACAATTCGCATGTGATTTGCACAGGAATGCTGTGCGGTTCCTGCTCGAATCACATGCAATATACCACACAGCATATGTGTGAACCCAGGCTAATGCTAGACATAGTCATTCGATACATCTGCATATGTGCCATAATAATGGAAATGAGGTCTCTGAGATTACTCTTCAACATATGATTTACCCATTTTAATGATTATCTCGACCACAGAACAAAGTCAATAAATTTTATAATATTTAGAGCTATAGTGCCATATAGGCATGTTTAAATATTATCAGAGTTGTTTTTAAGGCTATAAGTATAAGTTCATTATACCATGAAATGGTATAAATATAAACTCCAGACAGATATAAGCAAAAACATAATTTAAACCAGTTACGTTACATAAAAAAATGTAAGTAGAATTCTAAGTTTATGTTGAGTTTAAATAGTTTGTTCAGGCCACTGTGTGCAATGTTCTACACTGTAGTAGCATTAGTTACATACATAATGGGATGTGTTCCAGAGCAGCAGTACTGGCAACTTCCCGTCCGCTTCCTGAACTAAATTGGGTCAGCCTAACTTCTTTTCACCCATTGAGGAAAAGCCATGTATTTTTAACAGTGATATTTTCCACCAATCTAAGAAAGCAGTACTGCTGCCGGAACACAGAAATGCTTACTGCATGTAGCACTACTATAGTATATTACAGTGCACACAGCAGGCGCATCAGTTAGTATTGGAAGTTTGGCCCAAAACAAACCACAGGGGTTGGACAAAATTATGGGAACACTAGGTAAAAGAAACAAATCATTACCTAATATGGTGTTGGACCACCTTTGGCATCCAAGACGGCCTGAAGTCTCCTGAGAATTGACAAATATAAGTCTTGGATGGTGGATAATGGAATCTGATACTACTCTTAATGCAAAAACATCCCAGTTCTCGGTGGAAAATTAGCCCGAACTTTGTTTTTCAAAATTGACCATGGTGGCTCTATAATATTGTAGCGCTGAGGAAAGGTGCGAGACTTCGCCTGCATGCTCATCAAACCACGATTTGACAACACCAACTGTATGAGTCAGAGCATTATCATCTTAGTAAATGGTGCTGTCTTTGGGAAACAATGTATGCACCATGGTGTGCACATGGTCGGACAAAATTTGAACACAGTCGCTGGCAGTGACTCTACCTCTCAAGGTGATGATGGGGGCCTGCAAAATTCATGATATGGCTGTCCAAACCATGATTGCGCTGTCACCATGCTTTACCATTGGCACAAGACAGTCCTGGTCGTAAGCTTGGGATGGTGTTTGCCACACGTAAACACATCCAGTGGTTGGGAACAGTGTGAAGCTCGATTCATCGGACCATATTAAAGTCTTCCATTGATCGATAGTCCATGATTTATGGGTGTTTCACCACTCTCTCTTCTTCTGAGCATTAATATCAGTCACTAGTGGTTTGGCAATTGCAGCTTGCCTGTGGATGTTTTGCTTATGGAGTTCCCTCAGCACAGTTTTTATGAACACGGGCTTTGGGAGACTGAGATTGAGCTATGCAGTAATGTTTGCAGAAGTTGTTTTCCTATTCCTGGTGACAATCCTGCACAATATCCTTTTGTCTCTTTTGGTCAGTTGACATATCTATGGCGTTCGTTTTCTCAGAAACTGTATATGCTGACATAACCTTTGATACTGTATGTAACGCTACCCCTGGAGGAGCCGATTTTGCCCAGGTATCCCCTGGCACAAGATATTTTCCACAGCCAGGTACGCACACACTCTCTCACTCGTTGTCTTCAATAACCAGTCTGGGGGATTTTTGTTTTTGGTGTTTTCATGTAGAACTGGGGATAGGGATGGGGAATTTAGTGGGATACCCCAAAATTAGAACTATTCACACTGAGGACATACAGTCTGAACATAACTCTTAGTTGAGCACTGTGGAAGTCCTGGCTGAAAGCAAATAACAGACTTGTCTTTAAAGTGTAGCAAAAAAGTAGTTTCAGAAGTGAGCAAAGTCGCTTTAGCAGTAGTAGTAGTTGGCTGAGGTACAGGCCTGTAGCGGCAGACTGTGGCAGTCCAAAAGTAATAGAACTGAGCAAACGCCTTTGCAGTAGCAAGAGTTGGAAAAGTTCTTTAGAACACTAGCCTGTGTTCCTTTTTCTCAGGCTCACTCTAACTATCAAGCACCAGAGGGGTAGCAAAGCAGACTGAGTCCCCAAGATCTCTCAGTGTCTGTACTCACAAGTCCAAGGACAGAATGGCAACCTCCTTCCAATCTTCCAATCTGTCAGTGATACCAGACAGATCTTTGGCAGACAGCACCCGTCAATCAGCTTGTTGTAGAACCAGGGTCAATCTTCCTAACTATAGGCCCTCAGGTCGTCCACCCAAGGCCTGTATGACAGCAAGTGCAAGGTGAGGCAAGCCTGACTCCAGCCTGGCTTGGTGCAATCTTCTCCACAGAAAGACGGTGAACCCATGTGCTCACAGAACATAAATACCACTCCCAGCATGCAATTTGACTACACTCCACTGCAGTTGGCCAGGATTGTATCCATATTCATGCTACTCATTTGCCTAGTTCCCTCCCAAGTTCTGGAAGGCTCTCATAGCTTCCTGAAAGCGAGCAAACTCAGCAGCACCACAGCATCATGAGCACACCTGACTAATCCATTACAGCACTCTATTAAGCAAAGAGACCAATTAGATTTTCCTAACAGTCTCTCTGTTTGCAGAGAGAAGAGAAACATAGCTATATGTATCCTAACTATACAAATGCTAGCACCTAACTAGGAGGGTGTTACATGTACCTCGCGACACCACAGATAAATTGGCAACTTCAGTCACAGAGACAACAGCTAAGCGGGCACCAACAATTTACCCTCTTTGAAGCTCAGTAAGCTCTGACATGACTCCATGTTACTAGCAGCACATGCAGTAAATGACGAACGTGAGGCTTCCCACCTGTTACAATAGCTAGGTGTCTCATCACACAGCGGAAGCCAACAAATGTTACAGCACTTCCACTTTCAACATGAAGCATCTTGTCGCTTTCATACCTGCAAATCATGTAGTGTTTCCGTATTTTTGTCCAACCCCTGTGTTTAAAGTTAAAAAATAAACCTGGAATTTTACCTTAAATACATAGGTATATAATTCTGTCTTGTTATCACTGCATTGTTCTCTCCTGCACAGTAAGACTCTATTGCTTTGCTCGGTAAACATGTGTAAAGGTGGGGAGTGCACATAATCAGTGTGATGCTGCTGCTTTAATGTTCAATCACAGGTTGTGATAGGTCCTAGACCAGACTTTCTGGGTTAGCAGTCATGCAAGCTGTGGAACGGACTGTACAGATTTGCAGGTAAAACAGTACAAATATATGGATGTAGCCAGGTGCCAGATACTACAAGTTGAATACAGAGGACACCATCCTCAACACTACAGGCCAACTAGTTCCCCTCTAATGCTTGAACTCAAACCCTTACCTCATTCCTGGCTATAAAGAAAGGGAGTTCTTTTTCTTGGATTAAGAGCAGTAAACCTTGGGACTCGTAGTCCTGTGTGCATCTATGCCTGTGTTCCTGAGTACCTTCTAGAATACACACCCCAGAAAGTTGCCAGCGAAAAGGACTATGGGAGAGGATATACTGTACGTATATGAAACTGCTTCTAGCAGACTCTCTCTCTTCTTCTGGGATCCTCTAAAGAGCTGTTCTGTGCACAGTGATAGTGAACTGCTGCAGCCTTGCCCACCACAGCTATGCTTCCACCAGTGAATCTGCATCGCTATGCACAGCAGGGAGGCCAAATATTGTTCTTGTTTGGCAGCCTGAGAGCAGTATTTCAGGCATTGCCACAGATCACTGACTTGGAGGGCCAACCGAGCATCCATCCTTCTACTCTGCTGGATCGTAGAGCCTGCAACGCATCCCTTGTCTTCGTGGAGGTTGCCCTCTCAGCCAGGATTGGTGAGCGGACAGATGCCCAAAATCTCTCATTCTGCTATCCATGGTATAGGGACCCTGCATTCAGACTTCATAACCCAGATTTCTTAAAAGAACCTTTGCTTTGCTTTACTTTGCCACATCTGTCACCCATTTAGTGATCACTTTAGCATTCTAAGGATTCACTCTTCATCCCTGAGCTCCAACCTGCTGGTGAAGATACTGCCTGTATTTAGAATCTGAACTGCCCATATATTATTAATAGTGGTGTGTGAACCTGCCCAAAAAAAGAGGGGGATTTAACTTTCCTAGGGTATAAAGCATGAGTTTTCTTCCAGTGGTCCAGAGGGTGCTGAACTGCCATAATTCCTCTGAACTAGTATTACCTTAGTCACTGTCTCTCCCTTTCATTTTATGCATTTTCTGCTTTTAGACTTGCCTGCTCATAATTGCTTTAATTGCGTCAATCTGAATTGACCTATTTATTTGGTGTCCTACCCAAACAGTACTAGAGGCTGTTTCAGGAATCAGTTAATTGTTGTTCTGAACCTGCTGTTTAACCTTTATTAATACAGAACCTGTAGTGTTAAATGTAAAGTGTGTTTGCTGATCAATTAAAGGGCTGTTCAATATGTGACAACCTAGAGTGTCAGGCGGGCTGGAGAGTTTACAGGGTCAAGCACTAGAGGACAAGCATCATCTTGCGACCCCTACGGGGTTAGTGCTACATGTATTTAATTTACATACTTAGCTTTTTTTGCCTGAAGTTCAGCTTCAGCATAAAGATTTTTTTTTTACTATGGGAAGATAGTGGCACATTAGCCATTATATAAAGTGCTGAGCAAACTGTTGGCGCTATATAAATGCTGTATAATAATAATAATATCATCAGGACTTTATTATCTACATTCATAATAGAAGCTGTGTTACACACTCACAGTCGACTGAATTTCGTCCCAAATAGTTTCATTTTTGTTGTTTTCTTTGTGCTTCTCAAAACTATTTTTCAACTGATTTGTGATATACGGGCCAATCTGAAAGAAAAAAATAAATATATATAGTTTACAGGAAGAAAAATGCATTGCAATATACAGTAAAATATTAACATAGAATTGCTTTTATACAACAGTGTACAATAGTAGGACCTCAGTGCACTATTTAAAATATTGAATGGATACCTGTAGGACAGGGGTGGGCAACTGTGGCCCTCCTGCTGTTGTAGAACTACAAGTCCCATGAGGCATTGCAAAACTGACAAACTTACAAACATGACTCCCAAAGACAGAAGCATGATGAGACTTGTAGTTCACCAACAGCTGGAGGGCCACAGTTGCCCACCCCTGCTGTAGGACACTGCAATGTGTACACTGCACAAGTGTATGCCACGCCAAAGTATGCCACGCCATGGAGACTTCAGTGTCTTTCAAAGTTCTCTGCAAAATGCTAATAGGAGGCGAGCTTGGCCACATAATGTGATGGATGCTCCTTCTCCCAGTACCTTCTCCCCATTCATTAAAATCAAGCATAAGATGCACAGCATAAATAGTTCACACAGTCAGAGCACCCATCCCCTTTATTATATTATTAATCAGAGTGTGGCAGCAGACCGGTGGAATTTCTATATTTTACTGTGACATCTTCTATCATGCAGTGCATTGATGTTTGCATGTTGGATTATTCCCTGTTGTATGCATGCATGGTGTTCTATTCAAATTCAGTGGTTTACCTGACACACAAGCATAAAATGGCTTTTCAAAGATTGCAGATGTCTGTGCAATTGCAAATAATTAGTTAGCCTGAGACTATAGAAGGTGTCACTTTCAGTTTAGCAGAAGAACAGTTGTAAGCTATTTCATTGGTAATATGACTGCTGTAGGCATAGGAGGTGGCTGTTTCTCTGAATCGTACATAGATTAACTGTCTATGAAAGGAACCCCCTGGCCCAGACAATCTTACGTACAGTATATGAGCCTTAAGAAGGATCTTACACATAATGAAAGTTAGCAGGGGTCATACAGTGTATCAACAACAAGCAAAGGACTTAAAGTGTGATGATATAACACTATGGCTGCCAAATGTATAAAGCCACCTTCAATGAGCTATGTGTTACTATACTAGTGACGCTTATATGTTGCTTCTGTATTGTCTCTTCTAGCGTTTCTGAAGCCTTCTAAAATAATATGCAGATATTTACACGTCAACAATTCCAATGAAATATAAGAAATCATTAGCTAAGCCACAGATCTAATGACACTTGAATTCCCACTGTAAAAAAAACAGTGAGTAGGCAGGTAGGGGCATTTTATTGCAGAACAGAAACTGTATATCTCTTCTGCAATAAAATGCCCTTACCTGCCTGCTCGCCATCTCCTCCGGCACTGTAATTTGAGCTGTACAGCTTACAGTGCCGTGCTAGTCTCTTAGTTCTGGGATGACAGCCTCCTGCGCATGGACAAGCATGACATCATCCCCCACCGGCCAATGAAGAGGCCCGAAAACTGGTACTCATCTACCTCTTTCTTCATCAGCCTGACAGTCTATGGCCCACCCATTTAATTCATTGAATTTCACTCCTCCAGACTGACACCTACCCATCAATGCATTTTATTATTTACATAACTCAGCCCAAAAGCCAGCCCACTGCTTGCATGGGGGCTGATGGCTCTGGAGAGGAGTACTAATGCAGGGTGCTGCCATGTTTTCTGTAAACTATGTACAGCACCCCGCTGGTCCCCTCCACCAGCCATGGTATGCCTGCATTGCATGGAGAAGCACTAAGACCAGGGGTGTATTTACCACAAGGCAAACAAGGCATTTGCCTAGGGAATCATTTTTTAGGGGGGCAGCAGTGCCCCCAGAAGAAGGGACATGAGCAGCATGGGGACCAGTTGAGATCTGAGAGAGGCTGTGGGCTGCTTGAACCCAGCTGTTGTTCCTGGGGATGGCCAGAGTTGCCGGGGGCGGGGTTGTTAGTGGAAGGCTCTCTCGGGTGGGGGGAGGGCATTAAATTTTTGTGTTGCCTAGGCCAGCACAAAACCTAAATACCTCTCTGACTAAGACTGAGTGATAATGAGGTATGTACAGAAAATGGAAAGGTCATTAGCAAGTTAACAAGGAGAGAGGGAAAAACCAGAGAAAACAAAACAAATTCAGATTAAACTACAGCTTTAAAACATGGTACAATCTGTTAGCCCTGAGTGTTATATTAAAGCTTTTATTTAAATTAATAGAGAAGAATTATGTAGGCTAATTACAGACAGAAATAGATGCCTATCTAGCGTAAACTGTTTTTATAGTAACAGCTTTTCCTTATTACTCATAATGTCTTTAGACATAGATATTAGTTATACTTTTCTGTCCAGAAGCATTTTTATCAGTGCAGAGAAAAGGTTTTTAGCCAGCATTACAATATCCAATAACTTGTTTTCACAGAGTATTTGGCAATCCTTTCCTTCCACGGGGTAATGCAATCATTTACAGTGATATTTCCCAATTCTGAATTTTTGGTATGAGCTTACCAAATACCAATCTCATAAAATTCCAGAAGTATGACTGAGGTGCTAGAAATTGCTCATGTAGCCCCAGCCTAATACTCCATATTATCTATGAAAATCATACGAATATTGACTGAGACAATTTGGGGTATAATTACAATGGGAGTGAATATAAAGGCCTCATGCACAGGGGTTGTTTGCTTTTCTCCTCTGAATGCCAGAATTCCTGGCAGGAGAACAGTTGCTTTAAAAAATGCACCTAAATCTGCATTTAGACATGTCACGTTGTGCCTTCACCCTCCCCCCTCCTCCCCCCTTGCCGCGTCCTCATCCTGCACACAGCCTCTGAAGCCAGGCTGTGCAAGATGGGGGGAGGGGACCTCTGCAGCAAGGGTCACAGCTTATCCGGCAATCTAGGCGGAGGAGCTGTGGCCCAACGCCAGGAGACCCCAGCGCCAGACCGCCGAGATGTCTCTGCACGCCCCTGGTGGATGCAGCATGGGCACAGGGGCTTCCTGTGCTCTGTGCCCTCCAGTCACAAAGGCCGCGCTCACGAGAAGCATGGCCCAAGTCAAGCCGTGAGGGCCCCTGCCTGTTAATCGCTGCTGTCCCCTGAAAAGCTGGCCACTGTGGGAGCCGTCGTCCGTTGCTGATGGTCCTTGGGAAGCCTCCCCTGTCTGCTGATTGCTGGGCCCCGGGAAGCCACCCCGTCTGCTGATCGTTGGGCCCCTGGAGAAGCTGGCCACTGTGAGGGCCCCTGCCTGCTAATCGCTGCTGTCCCCTGAAAATCTGGCCGCTGTGAGTCCCACTGTCCCTTGCTGAAGGTCCCTGGAAAGCCGCCCTGTCTGCTGACTGCTTTGTCCCTGGAAGCTGCCTGCTGCTGAGCGACCGTAAGTCGCCTACCCCCTCCTGGAAGCCGCCTGCTGCTGAGCATCTGCAAGAGGCCTATCGTGAGTGTCCCTAGAAGCCATGAACTGCCCCTACTGTGTGCCCAGACCACCCTTGCCATGAACTGTCCCTATTGTGCGCAGCAACCACCCTTGTCCTGAACTGTCCCTAGTGTGTGCACAAACCACCCGTGTCATAAACTGTCACTATTGTGCGCACAGACCACCCTTGTCCTGAACTGTCCCTAGTGTGTGCTCAGGCCACCCGTGTCATGAACTGTCCCTGTTGTGCGCACAGACAACCCGTGTCCTGAACTGTCCCTATTTTGCGCACAGACCACCCATGTCCTGAACTGTCCCTATTGTGCGCTCAGACAACCCTTGTCATGAGTTGCCCCTATTGCACGCGCAGACTACGCTTACTTGAACCGCCCCATGGCGTGCCCGGAGAATAGCTACCTGGGATGCCCCTGAGTGCTTGAGCCATCGCTACCTGTTGAGTCCCCGTGAGCCTGATGTCATCCCTAGTACGCTGTGTGGGAGCTGTGTTGAGACCAGACTCCACAGCCAAAGTCCCGTTGAGTTCCCATGAGCCTGATGTTGTCCCTAGTACGCTGTGTGGGAGCTGTGTCGAGGCCAGACTCCACAGCCAAAGTCCCGTTGAGGCCCCGTGAGCCAATGTTGTCCCTAGAAAGCTGTGTGGGGGTTGTGCTGAGGTCAGACCCCATCACCTTACCGTGGGTGTCCCTACAAGCCGCATGTTGCGCAGTGCCATGAACTGTCCTAATTGAGTATCTTTCATAGTTCAATAAAGCTTTGTGTGTTCCCCATCTTCTTTGTGTGTTCTGTCCTGCCTAAGCTTCCGTCACAAGGCACATCAAGCGTTTGAGCGTTAATGAATTCCACTAGCCAGAATATAATTTTTTTTCTGGCCATTGGATTGCATTAAAGCTCAAATGTGCCTAAATGCATATAACGTTTAGACATGTTTAGATGCGTTTACAGCATTCAGATTTTTTTCTCCTCTTCAACTACTTTCCTCGATGTGCTTTTGATGTTTTTTGCAGCCTGTAAATGCTTCTCTTCTGATATGCCTGTAAATGCATATGTGGTGTGCATGAACACATGGGCTAACATGGAGGTGCTTTTACAGGCGGAAAAAAAAAACACCAAAAATCTGTAAGAGTTGCAGTTTTAAGAGCAGTGTGCACAAGGTCTTAAAGTTATAAAGCTTATAAAGGTATAACATTTTATTTTTATTCTTTATGCCAGGTACTTATATAGTGCTGTCAATTTACGCAGCGCTATACATATATATATTGTACATTCACATCAGTCCCTAACCCTCAAGGGGCGTACATTCTAAGGTCCCTAACTCACATTCATATACATACTAGGGCCAATTTGGACAGGAACCAATTCACCTATCAGCATGTCTTTGGAGTGTGGGAGGAAACCGGAGTACCCGGAAGAAACCCACGCAGGCACAGGGAGAACATGCAAACTCCAGGCAGGTGTTGTCATGGCTGGGATTCGAAGCAACAACCCTAGTACTGCCAGGCGGAAGTGCTAACCATTTAGCCACTGTGCTGCCCATATCATATAAAAATTACTGTTTTTTGAGGAAGCCTCAAAAAAATAATTAAATCAGCTGACTGGATTTTCAAGGATACCCACTTATTGTGTACACTGTCCAGTTCAACTAAAATTTTAAAAATGCTTATACTGTATACTATACCTATACGTATTGATGTTTCTGGGTGGATTATTAACTAGTATGTGCTGCCCTATCTATCAGCTCCCATCATCATTCTAGTTAACAGAAGGAAGGAGATACAGAGCAGAGATATGTGCATCTATAGATCTCTGAAGCCCATACTTGAGCAAGCAAACAAGGGAGGCAGGGCCACCTTGTTCTCATACCTGAATACTATTATAGACAAACTCAAATGATTACTCTTTCAAAGCATACATTTACTATCATTGTGAACATGTTTTAATACCAGCAATTATTTTATCACTGGTGATTTTATTTACAACAAAAGTGACACTAAATTGTTATTTTTATTACGATTAGCAACAAGTGAATTCATTATATGTGGATCAACTCAACTGCAACCTATTCATTTCACAGAGTTTTATTCCATACATCTTTATACAGTCCCCTGGCATAAGGTTCAGCTATTTACATACTAAACAATACTTTTTTATGTACAGTTTAATAAGTTGTTTCTATAAATCAAAGTGCTATGTACAGTATAACAAAAATGCAAACCATAATTGTGGGAAGTTTAGTTAAATGGTGCACATAAAAGATGACACAAAAAAAACAGAAAAGGGTACAAATGGAGATGTTGGTTTCTTTTCACCTTTTGCAAGACACTGTTTATCCAAGCATTAAGCTACAGCTAATTTGAAAATGGATAAATCAAATGGCTGAAACATTTTGGAAATACAAAAAAAAGAATCTAAAAGCAACGATGGATGGAAAATTGTAAATATACTGTAAGCAGTGTTTTACCACAAAATATGGACCCGACCAATGGTGCTTAACATGGAGTCAGGGAAAGTGATTTACTGAAAAAGTTGTTAGGACCCTCAGTATTGAAACATTCCTTTTTCTAAATTCCTTGTAAAATGAATTTTTACTTTGCAAAGTACATTTTAAGTTAGTTTATTGAAAGCAAAGTGAAAATTCACACTGAAAGAAAATATAAAACAATGGTTTTTGCTTCCACATGATTGGATGATAGACATCAGCAAGCTTTACTTAATTCATTAAGCTAAGCATAAATTCATGTTGTACTCCTTTAATAAATCAACCCCAGCGAGTTCCTCTGGTGCTCAGAAGTGCTTGCAATTTGCCACCCATCCAGAAGTCTTATAAAGCCTGATCCTCGCCCAGATGTTTCATTGGGTCATCCAATCATCATGACCTTGTCTGGTAAAACTGTCAGAAATGTCACACCCTGAGAGGGTCAAGGCTTGACAAGATAGATGTGCTTTTAGTATATGTAGAGATTTTTAGGCTGGGTTTTGGCTTATACAGTTGCAAGAAATAGTATGTGAACCCCTTGGGATTACGTGGAGTTTTGCATGAATTGGGCATAAAATGTGCTCTGATTCACATCAGACAGTGCTTCTTGAAACCAGTAAACCCAAAACAGGTGTGTGTTTTTTAAGGGCAGGACAGCTGTCAGCAACACATCCAATATCATCACACTGATTGGAGTCAAGGTTGGCTCACTCCTGGCTCCAATTAGCTCTGGGAGAAGTCATTAACCTCCTTGGCGGTATTCCCGAGTGTAGCTCGGGGTAACATTTCAGTACCAAAAGCGGTAACCCCGAGCTACACTCGGGCTTACCCTGCGGCACTGCTCCGGCATGTGTTCTTCACTTACCTTACCCTGCGCTCCCACGATGTGTCCCCTGCAGCGTCCCCGGCCATCTCCTCCGGCCGATGCCGGCATCCGGCTTCTGTGTCCTGTCCCTGTGACGTCGGGACGTACGGGCGTCGGGACGTCGGGACAATATGTATGTGAAATAGGTTGAAACAGCAATGTTTTACTGTGTAAAATTTAAAAATTTTAAAAAATGTCATTTTTTTTTTTTTTTTTCATTTTACACAGTAAAACATTGCTGTTTCAACCTATTTCACATACATATTGTCCCTAGTGCTTTGTCCTGGCGCCTGCCTGCATTTTGTCTGTTCTTTCTGCCTGGAAACTGAGAAATGTCCATGGCGTCCAAACAGTGTCCCTTTAGGTCAAAAGCGGTTTAGATCAGCTAGAGAACAGCGATAGTAAATCAGAACCACTTACAGAATTGAGTGATAATGATTCGTGGGGGAATTCGTCATCAGAAACTGAAAACGATTTTGCGACTGAGCTCAGCAATGTGCGAACTTGGCGCTCTATTTCACATTTCAGTGTTTTTGGTTTGATTATATTATTGAATTAAATTTTTTATTATTTTTATATTATTTTTATGATTATTTATTAAATTATAATTTATGATTTTGTGTTTCAAATTTTATCATACCCGGGATGTTTACTAGACTCTTGTTCGGACAGATTTCAGTGAGTTTTTTCCTAAAAATTACAGCCTACAATAAAAAAAAATACATATTTCCATGCAAAAAAATGGTACCCAGCTTTCAGCACCAAAAAATCTGAAATAATCAAAACCGCCAGGGAGGTTAAGCTAGGGCCTCACATACTTTTTCCTCCCTGCACTGTGAATGTTTACATGTTATGTGCAATTAAACCATGGCAACATCTAATGTTTGTGTACTATTATGTTCAGCAGACTGTGTTCTTCTATTGTTGTGACTTAGATGACGTTCAGAGCACATTTTATGCCCAATTCATGCAAAACCCCATGTAATCCCAAGGGGTTCACATACTTTTTCGTGCAACTGTATATGGCTTAGCTAACCTGATTTTTAGCTGTTGAAAAATCAAAGTAGCATGAAGCACTATAAAAATACAGTAATGCTGCAGTGACCACATAAAATTGTCATTTTCTTGTGCATATATTTTACATTTGCTTTTTTTACATATATATATTCATTTTGTTCATTTTTTAAGTGCTGCATGAATGATATAAGGTTTAGATATTTTTTTTTAGATTTTACATTAAAATATGGTATTAAGGAGTACTAAGGTCACCAAAGCCAGTGTTTTTATAACATAATAGACATTTACCAAGAATTTGCTGCAGGTGAATCAATCACTGTAATTTACAACACATTCACCTGCAGCAAAAGTATACCTTAGAGACTAATGCCTAGTACACACGATCAGATAATTAGATGACTTATCATTCGTCTCTCGATTTTTTTTTTTTTGATGAATACTGTACTGATTAAAGGAAAATCTTATCGTGCAAGAAAAAATATTGTGCTTGTTCCTTCGGATATTGCTACATGAACTGTCGTGATCGGCTGTTGAAAACTATGTACTAACGATAACATTATCGTACCATCCCTCTGAAAACGATTTCTGTTATCCGATTTTCTGATTGTGTGTACGAGGCATTAGATTTCAAATAACAATATAAATGATGCATCTTACCTCTTTTTTCATAAACAAAAAGGACAATAGCCATGATAACTTCAGTCAATAGAATCAGAAGGAGCAAAATAAAGAACTAAAAGAAGCAAAAAGAAAATTTGCTTAAAATATTACCTTTGTAAAATGTAAGGACATTAGCTAAATGAGGTACGGTATATCAATATGTTCTCTTTTGTCCATAAATTGAATCAGTGTAGTAAAATTACAGTTATCAACATATGACCAGAAGTCCTCATGCACACTGGATGTTTTTACAGCTGCTGTTTTTGGCTTTTGGCGTTCTACAGCCAGTAAACTCCCCAGCATGTTATCCTATGCGTCCATGCACACCTAGGCTTTAATCAGCATTTTTGGCAGAAAAAAAAACCCCCAGAACTAGTGGGTTTCTATAGGAGTTTTTTAGCTGTAAAAATGCTCTAACACTGCTAAACACAGTAAAACATGGCAAACCGGCAGTTTTGGGCGTTTTTTTTTTAGCCAAATTTTATTTTTTTGTGTGTAAAAATCACAAACATGGAAAAAAGTGGCAAAACGCTAATGCAAAAATGCTAAAAAATGCGGAAAAAACCTTTCAATGCAACGTAATACAGCTAATGCTACTGGCGTTTTTAAAACGCCCAGTGTGCATGAGGACATATGGTAAAAGTACTTAGTTAAAGTGGAAGCCCTTTATTGAATGTAGACATTTTTGGACAACAGTTGCTCAAAATAATATTTATAATTTATAGAAGAAATAAAGAGAATTTCCTTAATATTTATTAATCCATTGAAATTTTTTTGTAGTTTTGGATAGAGCGTAGAAGAGTTAACATTTCTGTCAGCTTTTTATTTCTGTCTGTGATCCACCTGAGGAAATTTCCCTCATTTCTTGTTCCTGTGATACTCGTAGAAGATATAAGAGGAATGGTGGTCAGGAGAGAAGGACACAGACAGCAATAAATAATTGTCCAAAATTGAAATCTTTTCTCACACTACTAAAAATATGTTTTCTTTTGTTTGTGAACCCCCACTGGGGAAATTTCCCATCACTTCCTGTCCCAACAGAAGAAATCTAACAGGGACACATTATATGATAATAAAGAAAACTTGACAGAAGCTGTAACTGTCTCTAAGATTAAATAAAATAACTGTACATGTTTAGGATTCTTATAGTTTCTGTGTAGAAGACTAACCATCTGACACCAATTCATTGTGCCCAAGAGTGATTGTAAGGAATTCCCAAAATTTTCTTCTAGCAAGATAACGCCTTCCCCCTGCAAATAGCAATGCTCTCTCTGACACCCCAGAATAACCTTCAGAAAGTCAATACTCACAGTGAGAAGTAGGCACTTATTCTCCTTAATTGCTCCCATGCATCCTACAAATCCGAATACCATTATAACACATCCAAAAAAATAATCAACATATTGCCAGTTGTGAGAGATGGAATGTCTGGAAATAGGTTCCCATAGATGTTATGAACAACAAAGTAGATTCCAATAGCTATGATAGAGCATCCAATTGCCTGTTAAAAACATAAATGAGATATCATAGGAGCAGTAAAATGTTGTTTGTAATACATTAAAACTGCAATCATAAAAACAACAAGCAAGCTGTTGTTAGAAAGTTGTAAGACATACATACATACAAACATATGTGAAAGATCAAATGGGAAATTGGCATTGAAGGTGGCTTCTGCTATGCTTGCACAAGACTATAATGTCGAAGGAAGCCACTGGGCAAAGCACAGGTTGACTTTACTTGTTTGCATACAAATCAGCAGTTGTTTAAGAATTAGAACTGCAAATCAGCTCAATCGAAATGCAATAACAACTCAAAGACGCTCAAAAGTAGATTCCTTTCTGAAGGCTGCCAAGCTGTGCCATGCAGGGCAATGAGTTGCACTGTGTAAAAATGCATATATGCCTTTTTATGCTGCATACACCATTGCACATGTATGGTGTGAACAGGACACATAGATAACAATTCCTTTCTATGTGCACTTGTCTGAAAGGAGAAGTATGGCCAAAGCTTTTTTTGGCTATACTTCTATGGATCACAGGATTGTAGTTCGTTCTGTATGCCTGTGACCCATTTTCAGCCAACAGTGGGCTAAAGTGTACTGTCAGCTGATGTCACTCAGCCTTTCTAGGCTCTGGAAAGATCCCAGCTTTAAAGTGGGGATCCACCCAGACGCCTGGAACGGTAGCTGGCTCAGCCTCTCAGCAAGCTGCTAAGCATCTGACACAGCCATTCCTGCTCTCTCCACAGTCTAGTGCTCCAGTGAGTGCTGGAGAGGCAAAGCAGAGAGCCGGTGACTGACAGTCACCACCTTTCTGCTCCCTGAATACCCAGAACTGAGCAATCAGCGCTCTTTGATCTCTCAGGTCTTGATGTTACAGTTGGTGGGGGACAGCTGCAGCTGGGATCAGTGCTGCAGCTATCTAGGTGAGTATGATTTTTTTTGTGTTATATATTCCTGAAGTTCTCTTTTAAACCAGAGTTGATCTATGCAAATCAACACAGTTCAACGGACAAGGTATAAATAAGCCAGCCCTTAGTATCTCACCATCTATTATTCTTGAACAGACATCTATTAATGTATATAATATATATATATATATATATATATATATTATATACATAAATAGATAGATAAGCAAATTTAGACCAAAAAATGATCATTAACATTTTGCCAACATTTATTACAAAAAGAACTACATACAGTACTGGTATTACTTACCCAAAACAATAAATTGAAGACAAACAGCATATACTTGAGCACTTTGATACACTTGCTCATTTTTGTAGTTTTTAAGTCTGAAATATATAGAACATAATGATTTAATACTTAACATTCACTTGAAATATAGCCTATAACAATGTATTCATAGAGTATAGCATACTATCTGTTTTACTTTGTTTTGACATAGTTTTTGATAGATAGCTCAAAAGGATCTTGATTGTCCTTGAAAGGAGGTTATATCATTTCTTGTAACAGACACAAACAGGGCTTACACGTGACTTACATGTCAAACGTGGCAGATCGCATTGCACCATATGTATGACTGACATCATTTATTTGTTTAATAATTATTAAAGATGAACTCCAGATTAACATGTAAATAAACAGAGGAAATACATATAAAGAGCTGTTTTACCTGCCAAAGTACTTATATTTATAATATTTATTATATTGCAGAACTGACACACAGCACAGCTAGGCTGGTAATACCACTTTTTTTTATTACAGTTTTTAGACTGTAGAGGGAATACATTAGTATCCTGTCTCCACCCATAGCCTACTGATTGGAAAGTGAAAGGGCAGCAGAAAACTGATGAGGCCATCACCTTCTCTTTTTTCTCCTGCCCTGCAAGCCACACATCTGACTGATCCCCAGTCTTTTAGTCTAATCTCTACAGCAGGTGTCTCCAAATGTTCTAAAACAAAGGGCCAGTGTACTGTCCTTCCAACTTTAGGGGGGGGGGGTGGACTGTGATCAACCACAGTAGCAAATATCCTGGTGTCGGTGGAGTAAACAATACCCCATGATGGAAGAATAGTGACCCATCATTGGTGTCAGTGGGAGGAATGGTGCCCTATCATTAGTGACAATGGGAGAAATAGTGCCTCATTATTGGTGTCAGTGGGAGAAATAGTGCCTCATTATTGGTGTCAGTGGAAGGAATAGTGCCCCATCATTGGTGTCAGTGGATAAAATATTGCAGGTAAAATAATTTTTGAAAATTATTTATGTGAAACCTTAAACTATATTGTATTTGATTATGTTTGTTGATCTCACCAATCAATATTTGACAGTCTCTGGCCAGCTTTAGGTCATTTATAGATTGGTAGATGTCTCCTCAAGAACAATGGATGGTGAGATACCAGTATTCCCTTCTCTTCAACTCAGTCAATGGGTGGATGTGGCTAATGGTGCTGTTTTTTTTTTTCCTTAAAAATAACTGCTTGTTATGGACTTTTAGAAAGCTCTAACTGACCCAAACGTTGCCTGAGCGACAATCATAGACACAGTTCCACTTTAACCACTTGCCCTCCAGAGGATTTACCCCCCTTAATGACCAGGCCTCTTTTTGGTATTCGGCGCTGCACTATTTCAACTGATAATTGCGCGGTCATGCAATGCTGTAACCAAACCAAATTTACGTCCTTTTTTTCACACAAATAGAGCTTTCTTTTTTTTCACTTTTTTTCTTTTTGATCACCTGTGCGATTTTTATTTTTCCCGTACTATAAACAAAAAAATACCGAAAATTTTGAAGAAAAACAATATTTTTTACTATGTAGTAAACTCAAAGTTAGTCATAAAATTTAGGCCAAAATGTATTCTGCTACATGTTTTTGGTAAAAAAAATCCCAATAAGTGTATACTGATTGCTTTGTGTGAAAGTTATAACTAGAGATGAGCGAATTATTCAAAAATTCGATCTGCAGATACACTTTTTGCCGGCTTGGAATTCTCTTATTTTCATCCTACTTCTTCTTCTTCTTCTTCATCCTCATCCCTCTCCTCAGAAGAAGAAGAAGAGGATGAGGATGAGGATGAAGAAGAAGAAGAAGAAGAAGAAGTAGGATGAAAATAAGAAGAATTCCAAACCGGCAAAAAGTGTATCTGCAGAGCTCCTCTAAGTTATCTGCAGATACACTACACTTTTGCTGGCTTGGAGCTTCTTACTTTTTTGCCGGCTTGGACTTCTTCTTATTTTCTTCTTCCTACTTCTTCTTCATCCTCATTCCTCTCCTCATCCTCATTCTTCTTCTTGAGGATCGAGGATAGAAGAGAATGAGAATAGAAGAAGAAGAAGAAGTAGGATGAAAATAAGAAGAATTCCAAGCCGGCAAAAAGTGTATTGGCAGAGCTCCGCTAATTGTATCTGCAGAGCTTCGCTATTTCTGACAGTTCTCTGACATTCACTCCATACAGTGGTTGAAACTTCTTATTGTATCTATCTTCTTTTCCATAAATGGAAACAAATAGAGAAATTTCTTTCAACCGCTGTATGGATGAAAATGTCAATTCTTCTGTCAGAAAAGTTAGCGAAAGAGCTCTGCAGATTTCACTTAGCGAGCTCTGCAGATACATTCTTTTTTCGGCTTGGAATTCTTCTTATTTTCATCCTTCTTCTTTCTTCTTCTTCTTCTTCTTCATCTTCTCATCCTCATCCTCAGAAGAAGAAGAAGAGGATGAGGAATGAAGAAGAAGAAGAAGAAGAAGTAGGATGAAAATAAGAAGAATTCCAAACCGGCAAAAAGTGTATCTGCAGAGCTCCTCTATTTCTGACAGATACATCTTTCTTTTCCGGCTCTGCAGATACACTTCTTGCCGGCTTGGAATTTCTTCATATTCTTCTTCTTCTTCTTCTTCTTCTCATCCATCTTTCTTCTCCTTCATCTTCTTTCTTTCTTCTTCTTGAGGATGAAGAGAAGAATGAGAAGAAGAAAAGAAGAAAAGAAGTAGGATGAAAATAAGAAATATTCCATGAGCCGGCAAAAAAGTGATCTGCAGAGCTCCGCTAAGTGTATCTGAGAGCTAATCCTTCTATTTCTTTCTTCAATTTCTTTGACATTCACTCCATTCTTCTTTTGAGAACATTGTATCTTCTTTGAAAAGAAGAATGAAAAGAAGAAATTCTCAAGAAGAATCTTTTCAAGAATGAAAAAGAAGAAGAATTCTTCTTTTCATTCTTCTTTCAGAATCTCTTCTTTGATTCTTCTTCTTCTTCTTCATTCTTCTTTTTCATTCTTCTTCTCATTTTCATTCATTCTTCTTTCTTCTTCTTCATTCTTCTTCATTCTTTTCTTTCTTCTTCTTCTTCTTTCTTCTTCTTTTCATTCTTCTCATTCTTCTTTTCATTCTTCTTTTCATTCTTCTTCTCATTCTTCTTCTTCTTCTTCATTTCTTTTCATTCTTCTTCTTCATTCTTCTTTTCATTCTTCTCTTCTCTTCTTTCATTCTTCTTTCTCATTCTTCTTTCTTCTTTTCTTCTTTCTTTCTTCTTCTTCTTTTCTCTTCTTCTTCTCATTCTTCTTCTTTTCATGAAGAAGAAAAGAAGAATCTTTTCATGAAAGAAGAAAAGAAATGAAAAGAAGAATGAATGAAAGAAGAATGAAGAAGAATGAAATGAATGAAGATGAAAAGAAATGAAAAGAAAAGAAGAATGAAAGAATTCTGAAGAAAGAATGAGAAGAATGAAAAGAAGAATGAAAAGAAGAAGAAGAATGAAAAGAAGAAGAATGAAAATCCTTTCCAAAGAAAAAGAAAAGAAGAAGAAGAATGAAAAAGAAGAATGAAGAAGAAAGAATGAAAAGAAGAAATGAAAAGAAGAAGAAAGAAGAATGAAAAGAAGAAAAAATGAAAAGAAGAATGAATGAAGAAGAAGAATTCTTCTTTCAAGAATTCATTCTTCTTCAAATGAAGA